ATAAAGCAGGGCACTTGTTGTCCACACAATAAATTAATAATTAATTGATGAATAAGATAGGTATACCAATTACTGAATAAAAGTTACTCAGGAAACTTATTAGCTGTGTTATTAATCTATAAAGCATTTAATTATAACAAGCACTAATTATTAGGTACATGTATAAAATAAGCATACGCACTGATAAACTACTTTATTTGTAAGTAGAAAATCAATTTGTAATCTTATTTTAAATTATCAAGTAACTTGAACTTTTACTCGCCACTGTATTAGTTTAAGAAGCATTCAATTTTTTAAAATACTAACTACCTCAAATACGAGGTATGTTAAAGTTGAAAGTGGTTTTCTAATCAATAAATAAAACTAACGAATAATCTAAGCACCAATCACCAGATTACTTGGGGTACTAACTGATAACGTTATTAACGTATAAAGCATTTTAGAATAGCAAATTGGTAAAAAATCCCGTTACCAGCAGCACTTGCTAGCCACATTAATATTAATAAGTAATTTAGATCAGTCCTTGGCCAGTTTGTTTCTTAAACAATCATTATATAGTATCGAAAGCGCCTCCCACCCGGTGGCTATAAGTTCTGATTGGCCTTTTAATATATAAATGAAAAAGTTTATAAATTATTTGAACGCTAACCTCGACTTAACTTAGGGGACTATCAGACGTTACTCAAAATTAATAATATATTTATTCCTTGTGAGTTCTTATCACTAGACAACACAGACACTTAGTGTCTAGTCAATAAAAAATTTTAAAAACATTAAGTAGCCTTACTACTGATGATCAAGAGACTGGAGATACGTACTAGTCATGATAATAATCCATTACGTATTTAATCCTATTAAATGCAAATTACTTAGTCATTTAAAGCACTCATTGGCTATGTTGATAATCTGTGAAACCTCAATTTATAACATAAGTGCTTTTTAACACGTAATATGGGGCGCTGACGAGCTGATGTATAAATCAACATATTATTTAATAACAAGAAAAGCCTTTATCACAAAGTTACCCAGAGTGCTAACTTTTTATAAATAAATTTAAGAATTCATTCATTAACAAACTAAGCACTAAAAATAACCCAGTAAGCCTATTCATTACATTTTTAATCTTTAAAATCTGTTATAAGAATAAGCATTATTAATTAAAATATTTACGTCATTTATTCAAATGCTTATTAATTATAAGGACAACAATAAATAACTTAGGCACCAATTACTAAGTTAAACAAGCCATGTCGTATCAGGGAGCTAGACGGCTATGTTAGTTATTTGTAAAGTATTTAATAAAAATAAAAGTGCAAATGATTGAGTAATCTAAAGCATGTAATAGCCATATTTTAAACTTATAAGAAACTAAAGGTACTGACTAACCTTTTAGTTTAATGATTAAAAATTAGAAACAATAGAAGTGCCAATTTAAACTTACTAGGTTTTTTATTTATCAATAAAGCATTAATTTATGATACAAGCCCTCTCTACTACGTAATCTTGTGTGCTTCAGCTGTCATTTAAATCTTATTTTACTTATAAAATGGCCAGTCAGCTCTCTGGGTCACTTGGTGATTGCAAGTGAGGTTATTTGATGTTTTTATATACATTCCTTAAGTTATAAGTAAGTACCTTCAGGTAGCTCGTAATTAGTGCTCAGGATATTTTTTACTTTTTTTTTGTTTCTTTATTAACGTATAGGGTGGCCAATAAGCAACCCTGGTGATCTCATGATTGGAGCTGGTATTAAAGTTTTGGGTTCACAAATAAATAAAACAACAAGTTTGTCTCCTAGATTATGTAGCTATTTGTGCTTACGTAATTATTTCATAATACGTGAATTAATATAGCAGCTATAAAATGCTCCAGGTTACCCGATCATTGGTACATACACTTTTTTTAAATTCCTTATGGATTAATAATATGGCTGGCCTGTCTGAAGCTTATGAGTTAAAGACTTTTGCGGTTTTGAAATACAAAAGCCTACGGCCTGCTTGGTGTTACTGGATTTGGGGTTTATTGATTAACAAACACAGGCCGTTGGCCTGCCTGGGGTTGAGGGGTTGGAAATTTTGTAGCTAAAATACACAGACTTATGGCCTACCTGGAGTTGGTGGACTGGGGTAGTTAGGGCTTATTAATTGCAGAACACAGGCTTTTAGCCAGTCCATGGTTTGAAGTTTAAAATTTTGCAGCTTACGTGCACAGGCCTTTAGCCTCTCTAGGACTTAGGAGTTGAGGGTTTGGCAATTCAAATACACATGCCTACAGTCTGCCTAGGTCTTTGGCATTGAAAGTATACTTTTTGAGAAATACAAACATTTAACCTCTCTAGAGCTTGAAAAATTAGGACTAAGTGGTTTAAGTACACAGGCCTTTGACCTACTTAGGGCTCAGCAGTTACGGATCTATCAATTAGGCACCTAGCCCTTCAGCTAGTCTGTGGCTCAGACGTTTGGTATTTTATGGTTTACATTGACAGTCTTCTAGCCTGACTGATGCTTAGGAATTCAGAATTTTGCGGTTTTAATACATAGGCTCACGGCCTGACTGCGATTATGGGATTGGAGATTCATCAATTTAGAAATACAGGCCTATGACCTGTCATGGATTAAGGAGCTGGAAATTTTGCAATTTACGAACACAGACCTCCAGCCTGTCTGAGGCGTATGGGATTAGAATTTTGCAGCTTACATGCTCAGGTCTCTGGCCTGTCCAAGGATTAGCAGTTTAGAATTTTTTGGTTGAAATGTACAGCCTTATGACCTGCGTAGGGTTGAGGAGCTTAAAATTCGTAAATAAAGAGATACAGGCCTTCAGCCTGTCTGGGGCTTAAGGGATTAAAATTGTGCAGTTTAGATGCACAGATATCGAGCCTGTGTAAGGCTTAGGAGTTGAAGACTTCGTGATTCAAATACAAAGGCCAACGGTCTGCCTGGTGTAACTAAATTTGAAATTTATTAATTCAGGAACACAGGCCTTTGACTTGTCTGAGTTTAGGGGCTTCGAATTTAAAGTTTAAGCACATATGCCTACGGCCTGCTTAGGGTTAAGAAGGTTTTGGAGTTTGGGATTTCTTAATTAAGAAACGTAACGATTCAGCCTGTCAAGGGCTTAGGGATTTTAAATTTTGCAGGTAACATGCAGATTAAACATTGCAGATTACATGCAAAGGTCTCTGGCCTGGTTGAGGTAGAGGAGTTCAGAATTTTGTAGCTAAAATACGTAGACCTCTGGCCTGTCTAGGGCTGAGATTTTAGAAACTTACTATATGAGGAGCACAGGCTTTCGGCTCGCTTAGGTTCGAGGAATCTCAGATTTTGCGGTTTGCATATCCTAGATGCCAGCTCGTCTGGAGCTTAGAAGTTAAGGATTTTTTGGTTTAAATACCCAGCCTCACAGCCTGCCTGGGGATTAGAAGATTTAGATTTACCAATGAAGAATTACAAGCGTTCCACCTTTCTAGCAGTCGAAAATTTTTTTAATTATGGCTCACAGGCCCTTGGATAGCCCAGGGCTTAGAAGTTTGTCTCACGCAAAAAAATCAAAAATTTTGCGGTCTTAAGACACAAGCCGATGGCCTACCTGTGGATAAGGGGCTAAAGGTAAATAAATTTGAAAATACAGACTTTCAGCCTGTCTGGGATACACGGGTTTAAAATTTTTTAATTTAAGAGCATAGACCTCTTACATATATGGGGTGAGGTGGCTTATAATATTGAAACTTGTACGCTCAGGCTTCTAGCCTGTTTGGGGCTAAAGACTTTTGCATTTTATGGTGTAAATACAGGGGGCAATGGCTTGGCTGGGGCCTAGGTGTTTGGGACTCACTAATTAAGAAACACAGGCCTTTAGCCTGTCAGTGACTAACGGCTTCGTGATCTTGCAGATTACACGCTTAGTTCTTTGATCTGCCTGGGGCTTAAAAATTAAGAATTTTGCAGTTTACATGCTCCAGCCTCTGGTCTATCTTGGGCTTGGGAGTTAGAATTTTGCGATTTAAATACAGAGTCTTATGACCTATTTAAAGTTCAGGAGCTTGGGACGTAGTAAAGTAGTTGTTTTCTAAATTAAATTCTAAATCCAGAATATCTAAGAAGGTACAAAATTATCACCAAAACAAAATAAGCCTCAAGAAAAATGTGTTAAAAACTTGTAACCAATTTATCATGTCATTACAGAAATATCTTCGATAAAAATCACTGTTTTCACATTGAACCAATGGTGCAAGCACTACATAGCTCAATTTTCTAAAAAGTGTAACTTACCACATATCCATAAATAATTTAAAAACTCCTCAAAACTGTCTTTGACAGTAAAGGAACACATACATTTTTTTGAGAACTCTTTACTTCATAGTTTGAAAAGTATCGTAGTCAAAAAAAAGCTCTTCGTTCAATTTCAAAAGATAACAAAGTAAGTATTGCGTACATAGCAACGTCACATTGTCACATAAATACAAGTAGATAGATGTATATGTTCATATGTGTATAAGTATACATAAAGGCATCATTTCTTTCTGATATTTTAAATACGTGATGATATTTGTATATTGTAAATCTATGTATGGAAATTAAGCAATGTATTAAAAAACAACTACCTTAATTAAATAATACAGGCCTTCAGCCCATCTGGAATGTCAGGGCTTGGAATTTTTTTAATTGAGGAACACAGACCTCTTGCAGGTTTGAGGTGTGGTGGTTCATAATTTTGCGGTTTACATGCACAAGACACTGGTATGTGTGAGGTTTAGAAGTTCTAAGCTGAATTATTTGAAGCAGAAAATATTGAAAATTTTCAGAAATTGATAAAAGATTTGTAATCAGTGCGCTGAAAAACTGTTGCATACAATTGTTTTTGACATAACTATTGCATACAACTTGTTTCTCAGGATGTTGGGCAACCTTATGATCATATTAGTAAATAACATAACTATTTTATAAAATCAGTTAGTTATGATGTGTTAAATAAACAAATAATGTTAAGAATATACTTACATATTTTTTTGAAGATTTAGAAAAGTAAGTGAGTCCCCATAACCCGTGAATGCGTCTTCTGAAAGAACACTTATATTATTAGATCTGAGATCAAGGTGTCTTAACCGATGCAGACGTCGTAAAGCATCGCTTGGTACAAAATGCAGACTATTATCTCCCAGTTTTAAGTACTGCAAGTTTTCTGAAACAGAAGTCACAAATAATATTAAATATTATTTTCTTAAAAAAGCCTTGCTTGCTCCCTATACTTTTTTTTCACTGAATATAGACAATAAAAATAGAGTCAAACGCATGGATGCGTAAAATAATATTTATAGTAAATACTTTAAATAATAAAGTGTAATATATATTTGACCTATCTTCAATTTCAAAAAATTAATTGTGTCTTTGATAATGAAGATGTTATTAATTTTTATAGAAAAAAAATATATTCGAATTAAAAAAAACGGAGTTTAAAGTGTACTGAATAGGCAGAAGATTAAGATTACTTATGGGACGAGTGCATTAACCATTGGTATTTAGGATAGTGGCAGCGCGAGCTAGCTCTTTGTTATCAGAATAAAGTGAGATAACTCAACGGAGTGGCCAGGCACTGCAAGACTAAATGAGCATAAAGATCACTACGGTAACAACGTCGTTAACCTAGAAGTAACGACGTTAAATCTTTTATTTGTATCGTTTTCGGAGCGTGTTCAAGAACTGGCAGCTTCAATGGCTCCAGAACTGGTATTGGACCTTACAAACCCGCAGATGATCCAATCTATCGGATGAAGTACTGCTCTTAAGCACAAAATTCAGTAGGCCACCAATGTGAAAGTGTTCAAGAGGGAAGATAACTGTAAGCTTGTCTGTAGTATTATATTTGATTGAATTTATCCGTGGAGATAGTAAGGTGGCACAAGCTTCATTATAGGTTCCAGTTAGCAACTGATAGTAATTAAGTGGGCTTAAGTTAATAATGCTTTTCAGGATATACTAGACTTTAACGTTTCGATTGTTGATGCAGATTTAGTAAAAGATCATCGTGATACCCAAGTATGAGGTGATCCTTCTCCAGCAGACCAAGCTTTGGTCTAGTGTGCAGAAGATCGTTGAGGCTATAGCCAACGGATGCCAGTCACGATGCGTTTAATATGATGCACAGATTTCTCTGGCGATCGACAGTTTGCCAGATTTCATGGGGTAGGATATAGAATATGGAGCATGACGACTCACAAAGCTTTGCATCAGGCAGTAACTGTATGTGCCAGTGCTTAAGATACTCATCCATGAAGCGATCATATTTAAGGGCCATCTTAAGATCACCCTGCAATCTGCGCCATAACAAGTGAAGGGATGCTCTAGCGTCGGGTAAGCTCCCTTCTATTCACTGAGTTTCATCATGTTTGACACGACATAGCGCTAATCAACCACCCAATGATAATCAGCAAAGATGACCTAGCACTTGATGTCCTCAGAAGATTAACGAAAACCTGGGGGTTGTCCTTTTATATCCAAAATACTTGCATCAGCGCAATAAGCGTTCATGTCAAGGTGGATTTGACGTGTTCTGTGTTCTTATGCAAGCAGCTAGTAAGGACGAGGTTGCTTGGCCTAGTGCGTAACCAGAGAGCATCCAGCCAGCAACAGTAAGCTGTCTGGCATGATCTTCATGAAACAACAGCCGTAGCAGTAGAAAATTAGGATTCACGTGGACTTGAAAAGTGAAAAAAATATCGACACCTCTTAGTATTCTAGAAGTCAGGTCTAAGAGGTCTGGTAGATTACTCAAGAATTTAATGGCAGCTGGGTGTAACGAACTAGATAGAAAGTGGAATCCCAGCTGGGGCATGCAGTGTACAGTCCACTATAACGTACAGGTTATGTTGCGAATTTTTAGGTGCAAACTTACAATGGTTAGGGACAACATAAGGAAAGCGTTTTTGACGTCAGAGATTGTTGTGACAGCTGGCTTCAGACTGGTTCCAATCTTTTGAACCACCGCAATGGACATAAATGAGATCACTGAACAAGCGTCAATGAAGGCTCTTGCTTTGACTGTTTGCCAGAGGCTCTTAAACTGAACTTTGAGCGTGAGTAGAATGACATGGCGTGAAGAGCTAGAGCAAGAGTGACTTCTTGCCTCAGCTAATGCTGGGTTAGGAGGTTTCTTGAGCTTGTAGTCCCAGACTTCCTGAGTTGAGGGATCCATGGCAGTTGAGGCAAAGTAAGATTATCTACATATCCCAATGTTCTATAAGCTGATGCAGTGCTCGCAGTTAATTATAGTGCTTTTCTAAGGTATCGAGCAGACCCTGCAGATCAGCAGCACATTCCTTGTGCAGAGGATTAAGCGATCTAAGTGACATGATGTGGTTCTGCAGGAGCAGGTAGTAATGCCTGAATCGCAAGACAAGAAGGTTCCAGGCTGTAAAATAACGAGAGCTATCGAGCTGCAAGGTGTTAAGAACTGCTTTTACCTCACTTTGCACGTTAACTTTTAAGTAAAAAAGTTTTCTAACGTCAGAAAAGAGCCCAAGTACATCCCGGGGTTGATCAACAGGCTCATCGCCTTCTGGCACTGTCAAAAACAGCTAAATCCTAGCGTGACACTAGCACGCCTTACGATTAAGGTTAATAATACCCTTCTGCAAACCTGCACATGTCACTTAAGAAGGTGACTTTGTTCATAGGCAAGCCCTGAATTGAGCCCTCGTGAATGGCTTAGAAGTAACTCCAATTGTTAATAAGCAGCTCCAACTGATGATTACCAAGACCCATGCTCCATACTTTGACAGTCTTGTCAGATTGAGTGAAACCCGCAAAAATTTCTAGCAGGGATCTCTGCGTTCTCAGCAATGGGGGCCAGCCTTCGTTATGCCTATAACCTAATCATGTGCTGAGCTTAAAACTTGTACTTAAAGTAGTGTTGTATTACTGGTCGTACAATCTTACATGCGAAATAATTTTGATGCAGAGTATTAGGAGCAGGCATAAGAAATTGCACATGAATCTGTCGATACAACCAGCGACAAGCTGACGTGAATTTCGAAAATGCCCGTATTTTAATTATAAAACAGCCTGTTTACTATTACTTAAGACTGTTTGACAGCATCACTCTTATAGTAATTGTTGTCAGGCGTAAAGTCCCTCAAGTGGACTGCATGGCTGTTGCGGATGATGTATAAGTCGTCTTTTATCTGTCACATCTTATTTAGGCTCTCATAATCTCGAATTGCGGATCTGCAAGGTTGCATTACATGCAACAGAGGCTCCAATATTTGGATACGTTCTTTGACGTAGAGAATGTGTGATTGCATGCTTGCATCTTACATTGTTCTACTAACATTGTTTCAAATAAAATCAAGGGTCTGGTTGTTTTGGGCTCGATAAGGTACCAGCAGTTGTCTTTCTTAGTCATGCAATTTGTCTCAAAGAACCATTTTTAGATCAATTTTTTTTTTTATGTCGGTGATATGAGTCAATGGATTGGCCGTGTCGAATATTAGTAGAGTTAGCAGAGCAACGTGGAGGTTAAACTCAAGAGTCTAACAGTGAAAGCGCAGAATTAGGAACAGCAGATGTTGAGTGCCATTACTAAAGTGTGTAGTCAGTCAGTGACAGCAGTCGTCAAGCCAGCTGCAGCTCTTTCTCTTCACAGAGCGGGGAGGGAATGGGCGTATAAGAAAAATCTCACACAGCATGTTTTGTGTTACTTTTACATGACATAGTTATCTTATTTCTTTTTTGTATAATTTTTGTTTACAAACTTATGTGTGCTTCGAGGGCCTTTCAATCGAAATCTTAACTGCTTGCTATACCCATGACGTACAAATATAGATGATGTGGATGATGATTGATGGAAAACGATAATTGATCTTAGTAAAGCCTAAGACGTTTCAAACGTAAACCACTTGGCCACTTTTCATTGAAATAATAATGGGTTTCACTGCTGTAGTATCCACTGGGTTTTCGTCTCTTGTAATATTATTTTTGCCTTGTATATACAAGGTATCTGCAAATATTCTTGACAATGTTAGTATTATCAACCTCCCTGACTATTTTTAAAAGGCACCTAGAGACAGAAAGTTGTAGAGAAGAAAGAAAAACGCTGAAGAGTAACTGTATTGAATTTGTGCACCCGACGTATCTGGGGTTTACACAATTAGCATATAACTAATTGTGTGAATTGATTATCTTCACTTGGTTATTTTACTTAGCACTTTGAATACGAACGTAATTCCTTGATATTTATTTAGTTTTTTTTTTACTGCTAATTTTTCTGTTCACACAATGCTTAGAAGTTTAATAGTTTTCTTTTAACATTTAATTATGATATCATTATCCACGATGCCAACTTTAATGGGCTATAAAGTATATGTTGGTTGTGCAAGTGTTTTAATCATATATGAGTGTGTTTTTTTCCAAAAAGCTTGCTTCTAGAGCTATTATAAATATTTTTTTTTTTTATACCTGGGACAAGTGTACATTTAAATAAGAAATAAATAAGTGAATCGTTTGAGCTTCGAGTTGAGAATTTGTTAGTTTTTTGTATTCATTAGGAAAAAAAAGTACGATTGGTATCATTCCTGTTTTTTATTCAACAATATTTGTTTTCTTAATCTTCTCTTACGTAATCAATTCTAAAGCTGATCTTTCCACTTCTGTGTATGTTTTTTTTTTTTTTTTTTTTGCCATGATAGGGCTGACAATGGCTGGCAATGAAGATTGTCTCTTCAGAAGCCTGTTTGCTTAATTATTTTTGTTATTAACGCAATAGTTTATAAAAATGCTGTCAATTGCAGCTTAAAATGGCTGTAGATTTCTAACAACTCCACTGCCAGTGCATCTGCTATTCAAAAATTTATTTTTTTTAGTTAGAAACTTTAACTATCTTCTTAAGTACTGTTTTTTTAATACGTATACGTACGTACGTATACATATGTTATTTTGTCCAGATTTATCCAAGTCTCATTGTATGAATAAACCTTTTTCGTCCGAAATCTAAATAGCTATAATTGATTTATAGCCTTTAGCTTGATAGCATGATTAGTTATGTGATCATGGCTTTGTCTCTAAGATCAAAAAACAGATAATGTGTAAAGTTTAACGATGATTTTTTTTTAGCCATCAATTTTATGGAAGGTTTGAAGTCTGAGGGTCTTTTAAAATTAATCGATTAAGAGTGCACACCTAAG